TGAAAATACAATTAATATAAATTCGGGAAAAAAAGAGAGAAGAAAACAAAAGGAAATAAATATTGCAATCACTGAGGAACCTATGCTTTCTCATCTGAAAGAGTTCAACCTATTCTTTAATATAATCTTCCCACATTTTATGAACAATCTCTTCTCAATGAGCTTGCATTTCCGAATCAGATGATCGAGAAGATAAAGCGATGTTGTTACCCTGAGCCAATAGTTCGTCACTTTCACCAACAACCATATCATCATTTTCATATTCATTGAATATTTCATCACTACTTTGATGTTCACGTAAAAAATTATTGGTTGGTGTCAATATATATATTATTTTTGTAAAATAAAAAGTTAAGGATAAAAATTGAATTTCTAAAACTTTCCAAATAATGAAATTTTGCCCAAATACTAGTTTTTTCTAGTATTTGGGAATTTGGAAAATTTGCCAAAAAAATTTGTCAAATAATAAAAAAGTGTATGGACAAACAAAATTTGCCAAGTTTTTCCCCAAGTTTTACTAAAAATTTATGGCCAAACGGGCCCTTCATCCTCCACCCCGTCCCATATTCAACCCCACCCTCAACGCCTTAAAAATTTAAATTTACTTTTATGGATTTTCATGTTAACCCATTTTGTCTATATTTATATGAGATTAAATAGATTGAAAATTATATTAACCCATTTAAGAAAATAAAATAAAATATGAATAATCCATTTAATTTAATATGAGTAAAAATAGTTTCATTCCACTTAGATGAGTTGAAATGTCGACCGTGGACGAATTGTGGTGGCCGATCGATGTAATGGAATCCTACCGGGAATGTTTTGGGCGGGTGGGTTGTGTAGGATTAATTGATTTTCTATTTTTTTTTACTTTAAAATATTTTCTTATTGTATATTTTTAATAATTTTTTGAATTCAAATGACATGTGTCACAATATAATTTGTCATTGTGCTATGTCATTGCAAAATATCTCACACTAAATTTTTGTCTGAAGAAAATATCAAAGATGTATCGATTCGAAGTGATAGATGTGTTCAATATACACAAATTTCAGTTGAAGTGTTCAAATGATTTATGCGGACAAATTAAAGTGATTGTCATGACTTAAACCTTTAGTATAAAACAACTTTTACGCAGTTGTTACATCCTTTACTTAATAAAGATATTTTGTGAACTCTTTGCTTAGCTAAAACTACTAACTTATATTCAACAGGCTGATTGTAATAAATTTATAGGAATTATCACGTTGGTGTTTTTGACGAGGGCTTTACACTAATATACACTAGAGAAAACATAAGTTAGCCACAAAAATTATGTGTAATTTCTAGCGAGTCCATCCCTTAAAAGCTAGGTAATTAATCTTTTTTTATATATAATTAATAGTTAATTCATAGCTAAATAAAATTAACATGAAATTTTATTGTTTAGTTATAAAATTTTGTCTATCACTAATTTTTTATTTTCTGAGAGGGATATGCGTACACTAAAATACTAAAATGATGTTCATAATCAACTTTTTTCATGTATATATGTGTAGAATGTGATCTTTGGAATTGATATTAGCGAACTAGCTAGTTGCCAAAAATCATTAATCTATATCACCTTATATGTTTTCATTGTATGTATATTTTGTTTTCCTGGTTTCAATCTTTTTCAATTTGTTCATTGTGTTTGATAGATTGACTTTATTGATAGCATTGATGAGCGCTATTTGCTTAAACAAAAACATTATTGCTTGGTGTTATATTTCCATCTTATCTTGGGTGGAAAAGGAATCTTATCTTATTTCAAGAATGAAAATTGCATATATTGATCCAATAGATAAGATTAGAAATGAAGAAATGAGATGGGAGCAACCTCGATAGAGAACAAGATATAGAAAATGTATCTAGGAATGTCTAGGCATGTGCATAGAAAAGGCAGGATGTCCAAGTGCAGTGGTGTGAGAGGTTGGGTATGGATGACATAAAGAGAGAGATAGGTAGGCCGAAGAAATATTTGGAGAGAGATGATTAAACAAAACATGACACAATTTCAACTTACATAGTCATCAATTTCTAATGTCATGTGTCATGTTGAGCTTGAAGACAAGTGACTTCAATTTTTGTGCTTCTAAAGCTGTTTCTAGTGCCTATACGAGGTCATTTTGTTGAGTTCCTTTAACATGGTTCTCTCAGGAGCTCTAGTATATTCGAGTACTCTACTTCTTCATTTGCAGTTTGTGGTATGTTCAGTTCACTGGGAGGAATACCCTCCTAATTCAATGTTTTTCTTGGAAGGTTCAAACTTATTAATATTACAAAAGTTGCAACTACAAACAAATTTTTGATTATGACATACTTTGTTCTTTTGCCATCCCTATACTAGTCAAAAGACTAATGTCCCTACTAAAGATAGATTGCCCTTTGAAGTGTCAGTCTCATGCCGATTTAGAAACATGTAAATCTTTTTGGACGACTCAAGTATATACCTGAAGGAACATAATAGTCACGTACACCCAATATAAGCAATAATGATCTATCTATAGCAATTTATGAGTACTTACTCATAATATTTGTTATATATTTCATATATATAGCACTGACAATACACTCTTCTTGACACAAAATTAAGTCAAAAGATGCAATACTTAGGCTTAAACGTAGCTAGGAAGGAAATACGTTTACAATATTTATACACATATATAAGTAATAGTACTTAGATTAGCTTGGTGGACTTCCTTCTCAAATCCCAATTTGGGAGTCCATATATTGTCCAATACTGCATGCCCAAAAGAACAAGAAACTAATTAGAAACTTAACATATCTAAATGTTACTAGTTTATGAGCTAATTATTTTGATACGCTCTAATTTATAGTATTACTTAATATACCAGATTTTGGTGCCTCCAAATACGTCCAAATACACGTGTATCAGATACATGAGCTCAAAATTAATTGTAAGTTGTTCTAGATATATTGTATCAAAATGGATTCACATGTATCGGGGATACATAACAAATCTCGTTTGTCCTTGTTGCCTCTCTCCCATCTTGCTTACCATTCTCCCAGGTATATGGTATCCCAAGTTAAATACATGTGAATTATACTAGAATACATGAATCTAGTGTGTATCTAGCATGATTCGTGTGTATCTAGGCTCCCTCTTCAATCTCGCTCGTCTCTCTCCCTATTTTTCTATATCTGATGACAATAATACATGTACCTAAGTGTATTTTCTTTAATATATGGTAGGAAAGTCTTAATTAGTGATAAAATACATAATATTTTGAAAATATAAATGATAATAATAGTATATATAATAATAAAGTACGTCTAAATGTTTATATTTCCTAATGAAATTGCATGAAAGATCATCACCTACATTTCGAGAAATTCACAATTTCTTCAAAAATCGATGCCCACTTAGCTAAAGCTATTTTTTTTATGATAAAAATATTCTTACCAAAAAATGAGAAGGAGAAGAAAAAGTAGAAATTAATGAATTTAAGTTATACACATGGTCAGTTTAAAAAATGAACCGCGAAAAATTCTTACTCTAATGATGTACGTAACTTGAATTCGAAAATAATTGAGGATAAATTTCTTACCCATCACAATCCACTTGTGGACCAATAGGAACTCTCTTGATCTTACAAACTTTGAAAAGTTTTCTTCCCTTTTTAACATCAATTATAGAAGAATTCCCACTTTTTTGAAGACACTTACATAAATCTTTAATATCATCAATTGTACTATTTTTTACAAGACTAGCCAAAATTTGAGAACCTTGACAACATTCTGCTGTAATATTTTGTCTACAACCCAATAAAAATGGTTGGCATGGTGATAACAAATCTTGGGCTTGATAGCAAATAAGTGATTTCAAAGGGATAATATTTTGCATAGTCACGAATCCTACAAATCCTAGTACAATTAGTGAACACAATATTGCTTCTTTCATCTTCATATGTATGTTGATATAATTGTAATCAAGTATATTAAAATGCTTTGTTGGTTATTGGATATATAGATGGTGCTCAAGTGTTCCTTTTTTTTTGTTGTGTGTGTGTGTGTTGGGGTGGAGTGGGGTAAAATAATGTATTAATAATGTCAATTGGATCAAGTTGTGTTCAATATTTTTGGTGATGATGATTATCATTTTTTGGTTTGGTGGGATTTTTTTATTTTGAGTTGAGTAACATGTACATATTTGATAACTCTAGTTTAGTTGAGGTTTCAATTTTTATGTGCTATTAGTATATTTTAATTGATATGTTATAGCAAGTTATCCGTCTTCAAGTTATTTGTGTAGCTTATTTTGGGTAGTTAGTTGAAGTTATTTTTGGAGGAGTTAATTAACAGTGTGAACTTCTTTGGTTCTTTTTCTTGCTTGTTA